GCACCTGTTGGCAAGCATGATGATTGGATAACAACAACACTGGATGAATTATTGCACAAAAACCTCAAGTGTAATGTTATTATCCACACCATGCAGGTGCGTAGCTTGAACGAAACCCATGTGTAGGCACTTGTGTTAGGGGGGTCCGGGGGCATACTCCCCCGAAAACTTTTGAAAATCTACATTGTCCTAGATGCATTCTGGGGTATGTTCAGGCTTTTCTGAAGGAAGAGTATTCATAATTTTGCTGAATTTTGGTTACATTTTTTTCCATCAATTTAAAGATGACCATACTTATACCACTAACTCAACGCAAAGCTACTGTGACATTTTGGCAAAAAGAGCTTTTATCCGTATATAGTTTTGGGGTAATAATAAATGAATCCAGAACTATACATTTAAAAAGAACAAATTTATGCAAATTTTTGAGCAATCATCAAAATTTAAAAATTCAAAATAAGGTTGTCTAAATATATACTTAGAAAATAATGAAAACAAAGATCAACAAGATCGAACGCCATTAACTAAATGCATCCGTACTAACACCTAGCTACATACCAATGATGATGATGAAATATCTAATGTGACACAAACAGCGTCTCAATACGATTTTATGCTCCCATAATTCATGTATGAAAGCCTTAGTGAAACATATATAGAACATAGAACAGCCTGTTTACGTGAAATTAAACATATAAAGAAAGTAAAGACAAAGCAAACTTATACCTCTAATACGTTACCTACAGTAATGTAAGAAAAAGAATTCCGAAGACTTTTATTATAAAACATTTTTGTAATTTGAATGAACTATTTTGCGCGAAGTAGTGTCAGAATGTTCAAAAATCTCTTTCACAATTGTAAGAATTACTATCAGTGTGAATGAACTTGGCATGTCAAAACGCTCATATTCATTTACATGTACATGTTTATTTTAAGAAAAGTTACTAAAAACCGGATATTTTCAATCATGTGTTTCCTTACATTCTTCCTTTCCATATGTTACTTAGGTCTCTCTATAGTGATAATTCAACAATCAATTATTCTCTTATTTTTTGTTGTACATTCAAAGAGCTTACATTTATCCGCAACATTTTGTATCTTTATTTTGAAAATTACTTTAGCTGGAGAGGTATTGTTTTACAAATGATATTTTCCAATCCAATCTGAATAACATTGTTGTGAAATATTTGTAAATGTTACTTTATGTGCAATTTAATGAATAAATAGTTTCATTAAAGTATAAATTACAAAAAAAAGAGAATTGCATTGCTAGCTTTTGAAGCAAACTCTCCGCCAGTACGCTAATTAATGCAGATTTTGATGTGTATTCAATATTCAAACATATTACTTGTAAATATTATATATAATTAAAATACATTTAAAACAAGAGCTGTCGGTAGGACAGCAACGCTCGACTATTCTAAGTGCTTGATAGTAAAAAAAAATGCTTGATACAGTTACCTCCTCCTGTTTACAGGTTGGGGTAATGATGGTGAACAAGTGTGCAAAGTTTCAAAGCCATATGTCAATGAACTTTGAAAATATTTGAGGTATTACAAAAGCTTTAACATAAATTCTAAGTCGAAAAAGGGACATAATTCTGTCAAAATGCTTGACAGATTTACCTCCTCCTGTCTACAAGTTGGGGTCATGATGGTGAACAAGTGTGCAAAGTTTCAAAGCCATATGTCAATGGACTTGGAAAATATTTAAGGTATTACAAAAACTTTAACATAAATTCTAAGTCGAAAAAGGGGCATAATTCTGTCAAAATGCTTGATACAGTTACCTCCTCCTGTCTACAAGTTGGGGTTATGATGGTGAACAAGTGTGCAAAGTTTCAAAGCCATATGTCAATGGACTTGGAAAATATTTAAGGTATTACAAAAACTTTAACATAAATTCTAAGTCGACAAAGGAGCATAATTCTGTCAAAATGCTTGATACAGTTACCTCCTCCTGTCTACAGGTTGGGGTTATCATGGTGAACAAGTGTGCAAAGTTTCAAAGCCATATGTCAATGGACTTTGAAAATATTTGAGGTATTACAAAAACTTTAACGTAAATTCTAAGTCGAAAAAGCGGCATAATTCTGTCAAAATGCTTGATAGAGTTACCCCCTCCTGTCTACAGGTTGGGGTCATGATGGTGAACTAGTGTGCAAAGTTTCAAAGCCATATGTCAATGGACTTTGAAAATATTTGAACTATTACAAAAACTTTAACATAAGTGGTTACGCCGACGCCGACGCCGACGCTCGGGTGACTGCAATAGCTCTACTTATTCTTATCGAATAGTCGAGCTAAAAATATGTTATTACACAGATTATGTTTCACGTTTACTTCAAATCGACTTTATGAACTTGCCAGGTTTTATTTGTGCTCAAGATTTGACGGAAATGCAGTTTGAACATAATAACGTACAAATAATTAAATCATGAACACCTTAAGAAGGGAAGATAATATAAAAGACAAGATGTCAAGCCTTCATTCGAAATATATATCGCTTAGCTTCCTCATACATTGTATGAAGCTAGCACTACTGATATCTGGATATTGTCGATCATTGTCGTGCATAATTGTAATATTTATATTTTGAATCGAAGCGCTCAAAAACTTTAATATTGTCAAAAACTCCATCCGTCTCTGATAGGTTTTACCACAAAACAACTTTATAACACGGCAACACTTTCGTTATGAGATAAAACTTGATATAAAGAGTATAAAACTCGTTTCAAATAAGCAAGATTACAGGTCATTTTCTAATATTAGGACCTACACAACTACTGCCCTTACCCTTAAATTTTTATTGCATTTTTGTAATAATTTAATTTTTCATTTTTGAGGAAAAAGTGTAGGCACGTGCCTACAGTGCCTATAGGAAGCTACGCCACTGCCATGTGTTTTCATTCTGTCATACTTATACCCCCCCCCCCCCCCCCCCCCCCCGGCTTTCCGTCGGTTCTTTTTTGTCCGCCCAATAACTTAAGATTCCTTTGACCCACAGTCTTCATATTTGGCATGGAGGTTAGTCATGATTAGTAGATGACCCCTATCGATTTTGAGGTCACCGGGTCAAAGGTCAAGGTCACAGGGGCCTTGGCTTCAAAAAGCTTGTCCGTCCAATATCTTAAGATTCCTTTGACCCACAGCCTTCATATTTGGCATGGAGGTTAGTCATGATTAGTAGATGACCGCTATTGATTTTGAGGTCACTGGGTCAAAGGTCAAGGTCACAGGGGCCTTGACTTCAAAATGCTTGTCTGCCCAATAACTAAAGATTCCTTTGACCCACAGTCTTCATATTTGGCATGGAGGTTAGTCATGATTAGTAGATGATCGCTATTGATTTTGAGGTCACCGGGTCTAAGGTCAAGGTCACAGGGGCCTTGACTTTAAAAAGCTTGTCCGCCCAATAACTAAAGATTCCTTTGACCCGCAGTCTTCATATTTGGCATGGAGGTTAGTCATGATTAGTAGATGACCCCTATTGATTTTGAGGTCAAAGGTCAAAGTCACAGGGGCCTTGACTAAAATAAAAAGTTTGTCCGCCCATTAACTTAAGATTCCTTTGACCCACAGTCTTCATATTTGGCATGGAGGTTGATCATGACCATAAGGTGACCCCTATTGATTTTTAGGTCACTGGGTCAAAGGTCACAGGGACCTTGACAAAAAAATAAGTTTTTCCCCTCAATTGCTTAAGAGTGCCTGTCCGCAGTGTATTGATTTTGACATTTTCACATTTGAAGCATGTAGAATACATAACTTAGCAATGCACTGGCTTAGTAACCTCAGATTTGGCAGGGAAGTTGTCCTTGAGCTCTAAATGGCCACTGTTGATACTGACAAAGTGGTATGCGCGGAGGTATTCACGCCATGACAGTGGCAGTTCTAGTTTCTATTAGATATTGTTGAGTAAGTACTACTATAAATGAAAATGTAGACAGTAGTTAACAAGTCAATTCTTATAAAGCCTTTAATCGCATCCATGGCCATAATAACACTGTTTCTAAATGTTTTGAACTATTCAGATTTTTTTTTCTCTCTCATAAATAAAGTTATTATTAATTTTGCAGTCATTCAAATCTCATATGGTTTTATGAAAATATATAGTATATATTAGATTTAAACTGTATGAGTAAGTCTATAAATGTTATATAATCCTCAAGTTTGCGTCTAAGGTCTCAAATTGTGATGTATATGGGGTGTTGATATATAGCTCTCACATCTCGAGAACTTATTGTTGACAACAGTTTAAATTACCCCACCCACATACCTATACATGTAATGATATTATTTTGTTAAAGTTCAATCAGTATACATCTTCTTAAATGACAGAAGTTAATTTTAAATCAATTAAGCAGGAAAAAATATGTTGTAAAATATATCTGGTTATGTGTAAAATATATGATATAAAGTGTGAAAGAAAAATATCTGTATTCAATGCTGTTTACCATGTTTAGGTATATTATAGTATATATAGCTGTGAAAATGAATCAGGTAGCAGTACCTAATTAAATCAATGTTATTAGTGATTCTACATATCTGTCATCTTGGTAATTTAACTGAACAACATGATTTTGAGTTTGTTTTGGTGTCTCAGTGAAACAGAGATTGCATGTCACAGTTTGGAATTTAAGCTAATTGAGGCTGTCATAACAGTTTTATACTTGACTGATCAACAGGTCGAATAAATTAAAGAGCAGATTAAAAGGCTGTGGATGCTTTCCACACCATTGCCAATGACGTCCTTGATCATCCTAATTACTTGTTCTTTTCTGACACAGTAAACAAACCTTATAATAGAGACATAACATTTTTTGCGGGGAGCCTGAAGACTGTTATAATGAGGTTTAGAACATTATAACTGGGTGACAGTATATTCATCAGGATGGCAAGGTATTCAACGGGGTGGCAGTGTATTTAACAGGGTAGTAGTGTATTAAACCAGGTGGCTGTGTATTAAACTGGGTGGTAGGGTATTCAACTGGGTGGCAGTGTATTCATCTGGGTGGCAGTGTATTCATCTGGGTGGCAGTGTATTCAACTGGGTGGCATGGTATTCAACTGGGTGGCAGTGTATTAAACTGGGTGGCAGGGTATTCAACTGGGTGGCAGGGTATTCAACTGGGTGGCAGTGTATTCAACTGGGTGGCAGTGTATTCAACTTGGTGGCATGGTATTCAACTGGGTGGCATAGTATTCAACAAGGTGGCAGGGTGTTCATCTGGGTGGCATGGTATTCAACTAGATGGCAGTGTATTCATCTGGGTGGCATGGTATTCAACTGGGTGGCAGTGTATTAAACTGGGTGGCAGGGTATTTAACAGGGTGGCATGGTATTCAACTGGGTGGCAGTGTATTCATCTGGGTGGCATGGTATTCAACTGGGTGGCAGTGTATTCAGCTGGGTGGCAGCATATTCATCTGGGTGGCAATGTATTCAACTGGGTGGAAGGGTATTCAACTGGGTGGCATGGTATTCAACTGGGTGGCATGGTATTCAACAAGGTGGCAGGGTATTCAGCTGGGTGGCATGTTATTCAACTGGATGGCATGTTATTTAACAGGGTGGCAGTGTATTCAACTGGGTAGCAGTGTAGCAGCATTATCAACAGTGTAGACAAGACCTTGTTTAAAGGTCATTAAGGTTATAGCTGGAAATATTAATTTGTATTCATTTAGAAATTCATTCTTACTTTATAAGTTTGACATGACAGGATATATCATTTGTCTCCTTTTTACAAATCTTGTTATTTCAAAATAGGAAAAGTATTTCTCAGGTTACTATTAATGATAGCTTTTCTTGTTATGCCAAAGAAATTAACTTATAAATAATAGTCAGTTAGCAAATCTGTATAAAAAATTTCGCTTTTTTTCTATGACGCAGATGTATATCTATTTTTTCCCTGTAGAATTATCGATGATACATATTCCTAATGAGGTGGAAATTAAAGTAAGAATCTTTTTTTCTCATATTCAAATGACGTATATATGTATATTTTTGTTGTTTGTTTCTCGGAGATGGTTATTAAGATGCTTAGAATTTATCAATGAACTTTTAACTGTCTACATTGATTTACAAGTTTCTTAATTTAGCATTTACGCATTTACTCCTCTATTCAAAATCTCTATTTTCAGGTCTAAACACCTATTAAAATGAGAATTTTCATGGAAATTTTCTTTGTTTAAATCTAGTAAAATAGTGTATCAGACATAATGTGACTCCATCACATTATAATTGCCGTCTGATCGTAGTCAATTGCCGTCTGATCATAGTCAATTGCCGTCTGATCGTAGTCAATTGCCGTCTGATCGTAGTCAATTGCCGTCCCATGTAGTCAATTGTCGTCTGACATCTGATTTAGACAATTGCCTTCTGATCTAGTCAGCACTGTTCACTATTCATTCAGTACATATTTTGAAGTTTTATACATGTCCCTCACCACGGTGACTGTTTGTTGAAATCCTGCCAAGGACTTTTGATTCTAAGTTGAAGACTTAGGGAGGAAGGCATTCAGCTAAGTCAGGGGTTCGTTCATGCCTGAAACAATCTAGGAGGGGCATGAGGTCTTCCTCCACCAGTACAGATGAAAAGTATGCTATAATTATGACCTTTACAATCTAGATGCAACATAAAACCCAACCAAAAGAAAAAAAAAGATGATTTTAAAGGAGTTGATATCAACAGTTTTGATTATTGTTTCCAATTTTCCTGGCATTGTTTATATCTAGAAAGAGAAAGGAAGACTTGAACAAGAAAATATTCCGACCCAATAGAATGTAAAATCTCTCATGCCTCCAACACCAACTAAAGAAGCTCTAAAAGATACTGGAATTATCTATGATCCCAAAGGAACATAATTGCAGAGATGCAGTACAAGGATTTAAGTGGGTAATAAGCTATATAATACTTGGCATGTACAAATAGAGATAGCATTGTTTCAGTATTATTAATGATTTGAACAGCAGCTAGCAGCAGATCTGATAGACCTACCACAGATTACTGTTATATAGGTTTTCTAATTACCCATGAACCTTCAGACACTTGTTATTTTCAGCTCTATTGCCAAGATTTTCATCTTGTAGTTCTTTTAATTCTTTTGGTTCTTTCAGTGGAATAAGAATTTATTGCGATTATTGGCACCATTGCCACTGGGTAAATTTGAAAATTGATTTTAGATGCAACTGAATCATTGCAGGCTATTCTGGGTCTCAAATAATTGGTGTAATATCACAATTTATAGACCTCCATGAATTAATCTTCTTAGCTATTGAATTAGAGTAACAATAGAATGGATTACCCCAGCCCCCATTATAAAAAAGGTATTTGTTAAACTGCTGCATAATTTTAATTAAATTTTTATTTAATTAAAAAAAACAACATGATCTATTTTTTCTTTAATTTTATGTACTTTAAGAAAATAATGTTCTTTTGTGAAAAAGCACAATTCAGTTCATTGACTGTTTCTAATTTCCTGAACTTTTCTTTATTTTTCATTTAAAGGGATCAGATATCATTGTTGGAATTAGTGTGTCAGGGAAAGAAGAAATTCAGAGAAAGATAGGACATTTTAGACTGTTTGTAGCAATTTATAGTGGGTTTTTTAAATTGATACAACTCCATCATTGTTACAGTTATTTATTGAGACAGCAAGGCTAGGTTTAGGAAAACACAGAACTTTACTGACAGAGGAAAAACTGTTACCAGACATCTCAGTGTGGGTGTATATGTTATTAATTCTGCTCTTTAAAAGTTTTCATGTAGAATCTTATAGAAAAGCACTCCCAGATTTGCATACTTTTCTTGGCTAATATAAAGTTGATACAGGATGAATTGTGGTTGATATTGAAATTGTTACATACATGTATAATGTCTACATGATGTGCACTACACTCATATACACATTTCTCAAAAACGTTCTTATTGATAATCATTCTTGATAATTATATTGGATCACTGGCAATGTCTTTTTAGCTCAACTATTCCAAAAATAGTACAGCTATTCTTCTTACTGTGGCATTGGTGTTCATGGTGTCACTAACACTTGGGTTAAAATTTTGCTTGCATCATCAGAATTGTGTCCTTTTTAAGCTTAGATAATTCTACATTATCCAGACTATTGTTTCATGTAAGCACTAAGAACAGTCAATTGCGCTTTCCCACCGACCACTCTGAGCTAGATGGAGTACAATACTTATTAAATGTAGATAATTTGAACTCTAGAAATGAATTCAAGGCTATACCAGGTACAATATGCATTTGATATGCATTTTTTGGACTCTGGGAATAAAAACAAGCTGAATTAATGATTGGATCCAATTATAATTTCTATTGGAACATCTTGTGAGGTTCATTGGTTACATTTATAAAATGTGAAATGAAAATGAAAATTATGATTGTATCAACATATCCTATACATGTGAATATATGGTCTTATCACCCTCCAGTGTGCATGATGTACAATACAATCACAATGTTATGTTTGCATGTTGTAGAAGTTCAAGGTATGGGTATAATATATATATACTATATTGAAGTTCTAAGAAAAAGCAAAAAGCATAGATTTGTTTCAGTAAAATATACTATAAGCTATTGGTATGATAGGTGTATACAGAATTAGTCATCAACATACCTATAGTATTGTGGTATATTGGAATTCCAGGATTATAGCAACACTGTTTGAACACTTGTGTTGCTACCTGCCTCAGTTGTATTATTTACTCTTTTCTCTGTGTGTTTTCTGGAGAATTTTGCTGCAAATATGTATTATTTCTTTCATAATTTGTGGAATATAATTTAAAAGGATGCATAAAAATAAAGTGTTGAAATTAGCTGCTGCAAAATGGGAGAAAAATAATATTTTAAATAAGATGTATTGTGAAATAATTCCATAAATTGGTATTGATTGATGATGGGATCATCATCAAGCATTGGAATTTTTATGGAAGGTTTTTAAGTTAATTCTTTGCAGATGTTAATTTTCTGTATCTTTTGGCTAATTCCTTGTGAAGGTTTATTTTAGTGACAAGGTCTTTAGGTGTATAATTAAGAAAATTAGGGAGTTTAATTAAGCCAGCCTTGGGTTACTTATTAAAATTTCCAAAATATTAATACATTATTGATGGATAAATGAATGATTGTGTTCCTGGATTTTAATTAAGGTTGCTGCGACTGTCAGTTTGAGGGTCGACTGTCAGTTTGAGAGAATCTTTATGTAACAGATATAGATTATTATTAAAATGATAGATTTACTTAAATGTTAAAACTGACATTTAATGATGTGATAAATGTTCCTTGTTCTGCAATTCTTTGGATTAATAATTTAGTGAGAGTCTTAATTCACTTAATTAAAATAATTATTCCATCCTGTTTTGATCATTTAAAAGAACTAAATTAACACACCCATTAAATTCTTTAAAAGTTTTTTAAGGAAAAAAATGGAAGTTATTTAAATTTCTCACATTGTTAAATGTTTTAGAATGTCATTTAAACGGAAATTAATCTGTTTAGGAGTTCCCAATAAACTCCGATGGTGATATTGATTTGATCATAGAACAGTTTTTATGTAGCCAAAAAATTGTTTCCATTTATTTACGGAGTTTGTAACAGACTGTATTTATACGTTTCTCGAGATTAAAACTTTCACATTCAGTTATTTGAGAGAAGTTGTTACAAACTTTAAGTTATATTTTATAAGCCTGGATATGTGAAATATAATAAGGATTTAATATGCTTTATTGGGATTAATAAGCATGTCTGCAAACAACAGCAAAATTCTTATGTGGACAGCATATTTCTCTACTTTTGTTTTCAATGTGTTAATTGACATTTAGGAAAAGAATATTAATTTCAGATAGTTATACTGGCAGTGTTTCTCAGTTCATCACTATAAGAATTTGATATTTTGAGATGCTTTTTACTTTGAGATGTACTCTTACGATTGTCTTGTTAACGATCGTCTTGAATATGTATGGGTAAGAGTTCGTATTAAGACGACCGTAGGGAGTCTTATCGAACTCTTACCCATATAACTGCAAATCGGCTCTTACAACTCGATATCAGATAAAAATATAGAAAGTGTCACCTCTTTAATTAAGCATAACATTGTTTTTCCCCAGCAGTCACGTACAAACAAGGATGGGGTCCAATTACTTAATCTGGCATGTAAAACAATGAGTTTTCAACAATATCTAGGATTGTTAATGCAATTCATTCCTGTCATATGAAACAAAATGATGTTTTGCTTACTTTTTCTAGAAAATATAAAACAGTCAGCAATTAATAATTAACCTTTTCATAGAGTTTAAAGGATATCAAAATGTTACTGTGTTCACATTTGTCTCTGCGAGCTGAGCTCCACGTGCATTATCTATGTAATAAATTTGAATGTATCCTCACATTACTACAGTGTTATCAGCCTTTTTAGAAACACCTGACCTGGCTAATTAAAATATGCCAATCACAATTTTCAATATCAGCACTGGTTTCTTCATGAAATAGCGGCTACACTAATTACTGCCGAGTAAGAGCCGATTTGCAGTTATATTTTCTTAACTCTTCATTTCCTTTATAATAGAAAACAAATATATTG